GAATGTGTGATAGCATTTCATTAGAGAGAAATAAAAGGCCACATTTTCATACAAAGTTAATGCTATGTTGTCACCTGCTTTCTTAAAAAAAAACTTATTTCCTTGCAAAAGTAAATCGTTATGTGAAGCAACTTAACTTCAGTTAAGAAATCAGAAGTTTTACACACTGTATGAATTTAATTGAAAGACGGTTTTATGTTTTTATGTTTTGTTCGTATGTTGTAAAAAATAAAAACTTTGTTTTAAGAAAAAAAGAAATCAGAGGTTTTAGCTGATTTAGCTAAATTTAGCTGATAATTATGCAGCAGATAATGTTAGCATTGTTTTGATTCTATAACTCAACTCAACAAAATCAAACAATGTTTAGCTTGTAGAAAATGGAATTCTCAACTAATGCACAAATGCATTTTGCTTTGGGACCCTCTAGATGCAAATTGATATGTAAACATGTTAGTAAACTAGTGATTAATAATGTGAAGCCTGTGTAAAAAATACAAATAATGTATACAAATAATGTGTAGAAAATGTCACTTGTTCCAGCAGCTGATATACATACCGGTATATATCAACAAATCAATTGACAAAGAATTGTCAAAGAATTGACAACAAATCAATTGACAAAGAAAAATGTTAACATGAAAAACAATTAGTACTTCATGTTTTGAGCTAGTTGAGGCCATTTACAAATACCTTATGGCTAATAGGGTGGCATTCATCTCCCTCACGCCCCAATGGAGTGCACATACGAAGCCCACGGAGCCACAAGCTGATGGCACAACATGTCCCACTTCCACACTGCAGATCTCTTTCACAGGCCTGCAAAAAAAAACCCCACAGAAATGGTAGTGTGAAGAGGAAACTGTTATTTACCATTATAGTTTTATTGCAGATGTAAAGATCTGTCAGAATTTTTAGAAAAGCAGTCTTCTAATAAAGAACATCTTACAAATAATTAAAAACATCAAGACCTGGAAAAATGTCACTGGTAGGTCCCAACATTTATTATAGCTGAATAACAGATTTTATATCTGATACTAAATATAAATTTTGTCAGAGAGCTAACCAAATAGAAGATTAAATTTAACATAAACATTAATAATTATAATTTTTACATGACAACACTGTAGTCTCTGCTGAGTGGTACATACTAAGAATTATCCAATAACTCTTACATGCAATTGTTTGTTTAAGTTTGGGAACTGATTTAATGATCATAGGAGTACAGAAAACACAAGCTTTTCCAAGGGATTTACTTTAAGGTAGATCTGCTTTACCTGGACTGTAAAAATGCTAGTGACCACTTGATGGCAGCAAAAGGTTGGAGCTTTCTAAGAGATTAAGAAGAGTGGCAAAAATACACAGAAGAACTATACAAGAAAGATCTTAAATGTCCCGATAACCATTGCTGACCTTGAGCCAGACATCCTGGAGTATGAAGCCAAGTGGGCTTTAAGAAGCATAGTTAACCACAAAGCTAGTGGAAGTGAAGTTATTCTAGCTGAGCTATTTAAAATCCTAAAACATGATGTTGTTATTGTGCTGTTAAAGTTGCATAACAAATGCCAGCAAATTTTTAAAAATCAACAGCAGCCACAGGTCTGTTTATGTTCAAACCCCATACTGAAAAATGTTCACACTGCGCTCATTTCACGCTCTAGCAAGGTTATGGTCAAAATCCCACAAGCTAAGCTTCAGCAGCAAGTGAACTGAGAACTGTCAGAAATACAAGCTGGGTTTCGAAGAGACAGAGGATCTAGAGATCAAATTGCCAAAATTCACTGGATTAGGGAGAAAGAAAAGGAGTTCCCAGAAACCATCTACTTCTGCTTCGTTGATTACACTAAAGCCTTTGATTGTGTGGATCTGAACAAACTGGCATGTTCTTAAAGAGATGGGAATACTAGACCATCTTACCTGTCTCCAGAGAAACCTGTATGCGGTTCAAGAAGTAACAGTTAAAGCCAGACAGGGAACAGTTGATTGGTTCAAAATAGGGAAAGGAGTACGACAAGTCTGTATACTATCACCCTGTTTATTTAACTTATATGCAGAGTATATCATCCAAAGTGATAGGCTGGATGAATCACAAGCCAGAATTATGTTTGCTAGAAAAAATATTTATGAGGGTTGCAGGGTCCTGGGGCCATGTGATCCCCTTTTGTGACCTTCTGTCAAGCAAAGTCAACAGGGAAACCAGATTCACTTAATAACTGTGTTACTAACTTAATGTCAACTCATAAAATATTTCTCTGGTCTTTTAGAGTTGCCGACAGAAAGAGGGGGGAGTAGTGTAACAGCTTGCAAAACCACAACTGCATTCCATGGATGTTTTCATAGATAGTTTCCAGGCGACTAAAGTTTCTGCTGCGCAAAATTCTAACTGGAGAGTATGCTTGATGACTCTTGGCTATGGATGTGTCCCATTGGAGAATATGTATTATGATACATAATTCCCTGGGGGGAAACCAGGGTCAAGGGTGACAACGAATGATCTGTCTCAGAGTCAGCTACACCCAGGCAGCATTAGCTTGTCTTCTCCTAATAAATCGTCTTTGAGCTTTGAAAATCCAGCTAGAGACTCATAATTTAAATGGGGGTAACAACAAGAGCCCTGACACTTAACAACTGTAGTGATTCACTTAACAATTGTGGCAAGAAAGGTCATAAAATGGAGTTCAAAGCTCACTTAGCAAACATCTCACTTAGCAACAGAAATTTTGGGCTCAGTTATGTTTGCAAGTCAAGAACTACTTGTAGTAATGTACGGCTGTGAGAGTTGTACCATCAGGGAGGCTGAACGCTGAAGAGTTGATGCTTTTGAATTGTTGGTACTGGAGAAGACTCTTAAGAGTCCCTTGGACTGCAAGGAAATCAAATGAGTCAACCCCAAAGGAAATCAACCCTGACTGTTCTTTGAAAGGACAGGTACTTGAAGCTGAAGCTCAAATACTTTATCCACCTAATGAGAAGAGAGTTGGGAAAGATTGAAGGCAAAAGGAAAAGGGGACGGCAGAAGAGGATGGGATGGCTAGAGAGTGTGAACATAATGAACATAAATTTGGGCAAACTCCAGGGGAGGACAGGGGAGCCTGGTGTGCTGTGGACAGTGGGATCATGAAGAGTCAGACACAACTTAACTGACCAACAAAATAGCTCATAGAAGAGAATATGTGTACTTTCTATACTGGCTCAGGAATTCTGGGTGTTGAAGTCCACAGGTCTTAGTTGCCCACTCCTATTATGCAGTATCCTTCGCTGGCATCTAATTTAATGCTCATATGGAATTAAATTACTTGAATAATACAGTAAAGCAGTCTTTTTACTACTGTTAATTGCACAACTAAAATGGTCAATACAAATTAAATCAATAACTGGAAGCTAAACTTCCAGAATTATGTTAAATGGATACTCAATAACTTCCCTATTGTTTTGATTATGGCAGCATCAGAACAGTGATTCTACTTTAAGGAAGGAAAAGAAGAAAATATCTGTTGTAATGTAAAGAAGACAATTTTGGAAGGTGATGCAAAGGCATCCATGCATAACAAATATCAAAGGAAAGCCATGAGGACTAGTGAGGAAGGGACAATCCTAAAAAAAACCCCGCAGGCAATAGTAGATTAGTCCACGCAGTATTGTCAAGGAGGTTTGCTTTCCTTACATGGATGAGAAGGAAAGAAAAAGGAGAACAAGAAATCAGATCTTCCAACAGTTAGTAGTCCAGAATGAGCATCGAGCCAGACCTATTGCCAATCCACTGCAAACTGAACCAAAATGTCTTAAATTACCTTAAGAAAAATTAGGCTCCGTTTAGAAGAGAAGCAATTTAGATTGCAGTGTGGAATTGCCCTTAGATCAAGCAAAGAACTATTAATTGCCATTCTATATCATGGAAGTATCCAAGGGTGGGCTTCCAAAATTTCAGCAAAGGGTTCTCTGCCTGGTTGCTGGGTGGGTGTGGCCATGGTGGGTGTGGCCTAGTCGGCCTCCTGTACCATGGGAGGGAGTGTGTTTACCCTCCCCTGCGTCCGGATGCTTTCCTTGAGCTCCAGGAGGGCGAAAATGGCTCTCCAGGTTCTGGACGCTCTCTGGAAGCCGGAAACGGGCCCACTTCTGGCCTTCCTGAACTTCCAGGAGGCCCATTTTTGGCCTTCCCTGAGCCTCTGTGCATGCCCTGCACTTACCTGCACCCGTGTGGGAGGGATGGGGTGGGCAGGGCCAGCCAGGAGTGGGATTGGGGGGTTCTCCAAACTGCACAGAATCTTAGCTAGGGGCTCTCCCGAACCCCTGCAAACCGCCAGCAGCCCATCCCTGGAAGTATCCAAAGAGCTGTACTGATATCTAAATCTGCAAAATATCCAGTTAAGGAAAATCTTTGTAGATTTGTGATAGGCAAAACCTGTCTTCACATACAGGCTTGTTAGGAGCTTGTTGGACATTAAATCATGCAGGTATTATGAAGATACACATAGAATTAAGCCCATGTTAATTTTAAATAATTCATTAAGCCTATGTCAGTTGTAGAGCCCTTGCCAGAACATGGATGTTGGACTGCTAATAGAGGGTCTATGCCAATTGGCCTCAGGCAAGGTTTTTGAGTAGCTTCCCAGCAACCCCTGCCATATAAATTAGTCTAGAGTTTGTTTGCTATTAGACTCTTGTTCGACCCAGCACACTGGCAAAGTTGCTTCCTCTGTGAAACACGTTAATCAAAAAGCAGGTGTGTATAACGGGGATGCATTTAGAAGAAGAAAGAGATGTCAGGTGAATAAAACATGACTGCTTATAACTAATCTCATCATTTATTACAAAAGGGAGTAAAATTGCAGGCATCACAACAAAATGAAATGACATTTATATGGCATTCTTTCTGAAATATGGGGATGCAATAACAGTGCATCTCAAAAGAGCAATAAATATACAGATTTTCAGGGGAAGAAATAATAAGCAGAAAAATTATTCCACTTCTTCAATTCTCCCTTGTTTAAGAAGCTTTGTAATTTGCAGTGGGCATCTAATTCTGATTATGCCACAATTCTGTTGGTAAGAAATAACTCATTGTTTTGCTTTCCAGAAAAGAATGAGGCAATCTGTAAGATTCTTATTCAGCAGGAATAATATTTTGGTAAACCAATTCTAAATATTTGCAACGGCTTTAATAAAGAAATTGTGATTTCCATTGTGACTTAACTTCTAAACATTTAACAGTAGAGTTAATTTTGCAATTTAAATAAAACAATCAGAAAATAAAGGCCCATATTATTTTCAAAGGTGAAACCTCAATCTGCAATATCTGCAACTAGAACAATGAGAATATTGGTGAAGGAGAATGAAAATTTCACTAGAAGACATTGTTATTTGCCTCCATCATTTGCCTGAATTCCACAACAGTCTTGGATGGGTAGATGTTTACCCTGGGGAAATAATTGAGTCCAGCCGCGAAGCCAGGAAAAAATTCAAAAAGATCTTCCAGTGCCACATAGAACAGCCTTCTCCAATCTGGAATATTCTAGAATGCTGAGAGGTGGCAATTACCAAATTACCAGCCATAATTTTGGCTGACAATTTGGCAGTCACAGGAACACAACAGCACCTTCCTTTTTACTTGTAATCCTCCCAGAATCACTTAGCTGAGGTTCAGTGTAGAAATTTGATAGATAAATAAAAAGGCTACAGTTTTATAGCACTGTGAACTACACAGGAGAATTATACACAAAACTCAAACAGAGGACCATAATTTGTCAAATAAGACTTATGAAAATTATAGGTTTAGATCATAATTTTTAAGCTGTCCTGCTTGCAAAATAAATGTGATG